GAGCGGCAACCAGGTCAAGATGAGGAAGGCTGTGGCTTCGGAATGGGACAAGCGACTGGCGTCCAATGCAGTACGGTATGGTTCCAGGGAGGCGCTCGCCAAGCTCAAGCGTCAGAGGCCACAGCTGGAGGTTGTTGGTACAAGATGTGTTTTGACGGACCAGGAAATGGACACCTTCACGGCGAGGCTGGTGGTGCAAGGGTGTCAGGAGAACGACTTGGGCATTCGTACAGACGCTCCGACCGGGAGCCGCGATGCATTCTGGCTCACGGCGGGCTTTCAAGCACAACACGGTTGGGATGGCGCTTTTTTCGATTCCAAGAGTGCTAACCTACGGGCGGAGGGCATCGACCGAGTCCTGATGATCAAGATGCCGATAGTGAATCCTCCTCCTGGCACTGTTCCAAGACTGATCTTCTTCGCGACGGGCAGCATCTACGTCACGAAAGACGCTGGCAGAGCCTGGTGCTTGTATTTGAAATCAGCTCTGAATGGGTATCCGATCCACGACAGCAAGCTGGAGCGAGCATGGTACTACTTGGCTCACCAGGGTGAAATCATACTGGCCATCCACCCCCACGTTGTTGGCATGTTCTTTGCCTGGAAGCAGTCCAACACCTACGCCCTCAAGACCAAGCTGGAGCTCCAGAAGCGCCTGCGCCTCGCCAAGAAAGTTGGCGACGTCGACCACCCTGGCACGAGGGTGCAGGACACGCCAGGTTTCGTCAACGTGACCAAAGAGAAAAGGCGATCAGAGCGATCGGGTACACCCCCATCCACGCGAACCGCGCGAAGATTCCCGAGTCGCAGGCGACACCCGAGGAGATCAGCTGCGTCAGGACGACGACTGGACAGGTGCAGTGGGTTGGTTGCCACAAGGACTCGTCCTGCGTATCAGCAAGCTTACGGTCCAGGACCTCACCGACCTCAACCAGCTGGTCACCGTGCTCAAGAAGAGTCCGAAGCTGGGAGTTCGGCTTGTCCAGGGTCGGGTCCGTATTTCGACAGCGCAGCTGGCGTTCTACAGTGACTTCGCTTTCGCCAATGCCGAGGGCGAGCGGTCGCAGTGTGGTCTCGTCGGGGGCTTGACTCACAAGCCTGAGGAGGTTGCCCAAGGGAAGTTTGGCGAGTTGATTCCGCTCACTTCGTGCTTTGGACGTGTCTGGAGGGTGGTGCGACGCACCCTGAATGCAGAGGCCTACGCTATCAGTGAGGCACCCGAGTACGCCGAGTGGTATCGCCCGGTGCGGACAGAGCTGAAGATGGCAGCGAAGCTCGGAGGTCGACCGAAGCTGAAAGGCGCAGAGCGGCAAGCCGACAACATCAAGATGACGACCTTCACGGACAGCGAGAATCTCGAGGAGACGGCGGCGAAGGACGCCAGAGTCGTGCAGGACAAACGGTTGAGGATCGCGGTCAGCATCGGCATGCTGAGGGGGGCTTTCGCACCTACGGCTTCGATTTTGTGGTGAATTCCGACCCACATGATGGTCGCGGACGACCTCACCTAGGTGATGCACGCGGGGGGCTGCTGGCATTATTTATGTCCGGCCGCGACGTTAAGTTCTCGGCCCTAGCTCCCAAGCTGGAGACGAACGTCAAGCTGCTGACGTTCGCCGCCAGGGCCATTCTGGGGGCCAGCTTCGACCTCTGGCCGAAGGAACGGACGAGCAACGATCGACACAGCCAGGGCCTGACCATATGCAGTCGTGCGGCCGGGAAGGATAGGCAGTGAGTGTGTTGTTATATTTGCAGAGTGCGTTTTTTTATTCTAATTTTTTTTAGGGGGGGGTCCTGTTCACTCTTTTTTGTATGCTGGTGTGTAGTGTTGTACGGCAGATGTTGTCTTTGCCGCCTGGGACGCAGGACGCCTGTCAGCAGATGGGGACGAGGATGATCAGGGTGGTCATGCAGCTCAGAACGCAGCAGGTCGACCACACAAGGGAAATCAAGACGAAGCCCAAGCACAAGAAGGACAGGGGTCACAGGACCCAGGTCAGGGATGCGAGGACGATGAGTCCGACTACGTGCGCGAGAAGTTTTGCGCCAGGCCCGAGGCGCCACAACCCAGTCCACAACTTCGACAGGGACGTGTTTTGTGGAAAGTCCTACGATCGTGTGCACACTCTGGTACTCTGTGGTGGTGTGGTGCTCCAGCGACTGCAGGAGCTGTTTGCGCACTCAGTGTGCGGCGTTACGTTCAGGTATCAGCGGCTGTGTGTGAGCACTCGGTGCGTGTGCTCCACCGACTACGGGTGCACATTTCTGCGATCGTCCGGCTCAGGCGCTTTGACCCTTTTTTTCGCTGCGCAGCAAATGCAGCAGCAGCAACAGCAGCAGCAGCAGCAGCAGCAGCAGCAGCAGCAGCAGCAGCAGAGGCAGCAGCAGCAGCAGCAGCAGCAGCAGCAAAAGGATGTCCTTTCATATCCCAGATATCAGCACTATCCGACCGACACCCGGCGGCCTACCAGGGCGCGCGGGCAGACGCCCCTCACATGGTTCACCAGGGTGGTGCCTTGTCGAGAAAGCTGTAGTCAGACACCTCCCCCGTGGCAACCAGCCAGGCTGTAGAGGCAATCTCGACAACGCCGCCGCCGACGCCGCACAGGCGCTCGAAAACGAAGGCTACAGGAGACCTACACGGACCGACCTGCTCCACGGGCTCTGCCCCGAACCGCCGCCGCGCTCTGAAGCCGCAAAGCCGGGGGAAAAGTAGCACGGCTGGCACTTCCACGCTCGTTCCACGCACAGGAACAACTACTACAGAGACGACGTACTTACGCGAAGCCTCACTGGGGCGAACGACTCCATGTCAAGGTCAGCCTAAAGACCACGAGCCGCCTGTCAACTTGGCGCACTGCTCCCTGCACCAGCTCCGTTTTCCAAGCCTTCCTGTTGCAATTCTGCCAATTCTGCTTTTTGCTGCTTACACTTTCAAGTAGAGGAACCGCGCGAACAGAGGGAGCCGAGAAGGAACCGAGTGACCACGCCCGACTCGCGTGATCTGACTGGGGAGTGGGCACCCCCAAACCGTAAAACCACACACGTTAAGCAACACCCGCGCTCACGAGGCAACAAGTTCTCGCGACTTAACCTTGTTTTTGCGCCCCCAAAACCAGAAACCCTCACAATTCATTTCATTTCATTTCATACCGCAGCGACGGGGGCCGGAGCACCGCGCGACCGCGCGCGCCGCCCCAGCGCGCCCCCCCCGCGCGCGGCCCGCTCAGGTCGCAGCCGCCCCTGCGCTCCCGGGGCAGGGCCGCGGGGCCGACCCCGTCTCGGGAAGGGTCTTTCACCCCCGTCGTGGGTCGGCCCTGGCACCACCGCGGGCAACGGCGCCCTGGCCTCGCGGCCAGTGCGACCCCTCCCCGACCGGCACCTCAGAGGGCAAAAAGGGAGGGGCGGCGCAGCGGGCGGCGGGGTGCACGGGGGGGGGCAGAGTTCGCTCCTCCCCCTCCCCGGCCGCTCGCGGCACGGGGACGGACAGCAGCCAGGAGGCCGCGCGAGCGGTCGAAAGAGGAAAAGAAACAGGGGGGGACAAGGCACCAGGCATTGGGCAGCCAGATGGCTTGGGGGAAGACCGCCGCCACAGACGCACAGAGCAACGCGGCTGCACTGGGCCCCTGGGCGCGGCAGCCTCGCCCAGCCCTTAAAAGAACAAAGGCCACTCGCAGTCAGATCCCAACCGGTTCCAGCGCCACAAGCGGCGGTGAAATTGCTTAAGTCCCCCTGGGGGGCGGGGCCGCAGGCCCCCCACCAGGTCGGGAAGGAATTTCGAACGGGCGCGAGCCTATCGAGTCGTGCAAGGCGCGCGCCACGTAGAGAACGTGGTGCCACCTCTCTTCAGGCGGCGGCCCCTCGCGGAAGAGCTGGTACATGTACATGGCTGCGTGCGATAGCGGCGGGAGCAGGGCGCGAGACTCCAAATCGGCACGCTGCGCGGCCTGCCTGGGGCAGCCGCAAATAGCATGGGCAATGTCCACCTGCGCAGCTCCGCAAGCAGCACAGCGGTCCAGAGCGACGGAGAGACACGGCACGCCAAGGACTGGGAGGGGCCATGCCCCGGACATACGCGCTACGGACCACATGCGAAAGTCGCGCCACATATGTGGCCCAAAATCCAACAGAAGTAGGGCCATCGGTAGCTGGTTGGGCTCGGGGACGAGCACAGCAAAGGACATCCCGAGCGTGGGCAAGCAGGCGCCGGTCGCGCGTTGGAACTCGGCCCGATCGCGCGCCCGCAGGGCCGGGCGAACCACCTGGAGTTTGAAGTCACGCAGCAGAGACCTACGCAACTGCAGAGAGCCCTGGGCGCCACGCAGAGGGTGGCGGAACGCTGGGTGGACATCGATGTCCAGGACAGGTGGCGTGAGCTCCGCCATGCGGGCGGCGACGGCGCTCGCCCAGGAGGCGCACGTAAGGCGGCGCGCCAGCGCGAGCATGCGGGTGCCGGGGTGGTCAGGAGGCTGCGCCAAAAGTCGGGCGCGCGCCATGATTGCTCGCTCGAGCATCCGCGTGCCCAACCGGCACGTCCAGCCGCATTGCGCAACGACCACCTCGCCTGGCACAGGGGGGCCAGTGGTGCACGCCAGGAGCCTCCTAGCCCACGCGGCCTGCATGCGATTCAACTCATACTCAGCCCGATGGGCCAAGAGCAGAAAAGGAGAAGGGTATAAGATAGCGCTCTCGACCCGGAGGGGGACCTGCGCAGAAAGGACGGGGAGGCCGAATCCGCCGCTCTCCCCAGCGTGGAAAAGCGCTTCAAACAACGCGTGGCCGCGGGCCAAAACAGAGCGGAGGAGGGGTAGAAAGGTGAGCTCGGCGTCAACGAGAACGCCAAGCACCAGCTTCTGGTCCACGACGGGGCAGCCCACCCACCAGGGGTCGGGGCTACCAGCAACGGCCATGGCCGCTGTTTTACCAGAGGCGTAATTAAAGTCGGCACGGACAGCGCGGGCAAACCGGCTACACGCAGAGTCTGGCTCGGCAGATACAACGGCGCGGAGGGAGCCTGGGGACGGGCAAGGGACAGTCAGATCGTCAGAGAACTGCAGTGGCTGCAAGTGCTCCGCACCCAGCGCGTCCTGGGCTGCGGCACGATCGGCTTCAGTGGCCCCTCCGCACGCCCACTCGGCCAGTTCCGCCGCGGCTCGAGCCCACGGCGCGCCCTCGCCCAGTGCCGTTGCGGAGACGCTAGTCGCGATCGCCGCGGCCGCGTCGACGGAGGGGGGTGAAGGGGGGCGGAGTGGAAAGGGAGGGGGAGGGTCCACGCCAACTGGACAAGCGCGCCGGTAGACCGGCGGAACCCAGGTTGCACAACCCTGCGGCAGGACAGCCATTACAGCATCAGCTAGCCACTTCACCTCGGCATTAAACACATACGCCGAAAAACGCTTACCTTGGGCGGTGCCGCAGGGCAGCCGAAAAAACTCAGACGCCAGCCCCTGGAGGGCTACAACCTGGATGTCCATCTGAATGAAATCATCCAACAAGAGCCACTCGTCCTCCACCACGCCAGCAAGATACGACGACAGGCGCATGGCATCATGCGAGGCCACATCAAAGGCCCAGCGAAGGTCAGTAAGCGCCCAGTACGTGGGGGGCCCTTGAGCGCCGCGGAGCTGCGCGTGGAGCAGCAGCGCTAGCAACACAAGCAAGGGGTCCCCGACCCCGCCCTGCTGGCCAGCGCCGCAATATTGCGTGAGCACAGAGCGGTTGCGCTGTGTCCAGAGGGCGTCCACAACCGCAGACATGACAGTGGAGATCGAGATGGGCTGGAGGCACGCGACATCACGCACCACGCGGGGGCCCGACTTGTGAAGCGGTGTAAATTGCCTCGCGGACCAGCATGTGCTGGTGAGACCACAGGACCTAGAGAGATTCGCCAACGCTAGCGTGAGGCGCCGGCCCTGCACGCATGGTGACTTAACGGAGGCATAACAGCCACGTAGCGCGCTGGATGCCACTTTAAATGTCTCTAAAACGTCCGCAAGCTCAGCCATGGAGTAAAGGCGCCGGCCCCTGGTGGAGAGACCGGTGCCAGCACGAGCCGCGCCGCTCTGGCGAACGGCGGACACCGCCCGTGCGGTGGCGAGGCATGCCTCACGGTCATGTGGAAAGTTGTTGGAGGCCCTCGCCTGCAGATCCTGCTCGATGGCTTGGAGCATCTCGTCGGCACTGAATCCCCGTCCCGTGGCAGGGTCGGCGAGTGCGATCTCAAACCTGTCTTGGCCGGCGAAGAATGAGGACAGGAAGCGCTCCGCAGCCCCAGGGTTCAAAGCCCGAAGGTGGAGAAAACGTTGGGCCGCGCCCCTCCTAGCATCCCAGGCTGCCTGCGTGGCCGCTTTCTTAAAAGCCTGGTGATCAGAGAAATCCGCCGAGGCTGGCCCAACGGGCCGGCGTCGCTTGCGAGACGCCGCCGACGTCACCGCACGGGTGACCCCCGCAGCGTGGCCCGCAAGAGTGTATAGCACGTCACGTGACCACGCGGCCACGTCCAGGAGCACGCGGCGCTGGGCGACAGAGGCCTGGCCTCCGCTCCACGGAGGGCGGAGCCACGGCGCATGCACGCACAGCTCAACCGCAGACGCTGCAATTGGAGAAGCGGTTCCACCGCGCTAAGGGCGTCATCCCACTGGGAATCAGTGCGCCAGCTGACTCGGCCAAAACCTACGTGCGCGGAGCGGTCACACTGGCACGGCATTGACCAGCACAGCAGGCGGTGGTCAGAGGCCACGGCCACGGCCTCCTTGACAGCAACGGAGATCTGTTGGCCCAAGTCCGCGAGGACAAGGTAGTTCACGTGCCAGAATCGTGCGTGGGCACCGGCGGGTTGCACGCGATGAGCGAGGCAGCGCACAGCATCGCCTCGATATCGCGATCTTCCGGGGATTGGTGACAATGGCAGCAGCCGCACCCCGGGCGGTGCGAAAGGACGTAGGACAAATGGATATTTGCATCCCCAGCGACGAGGAACGAGGCATGCGGAAAGCGCGAGCGCAATCGAGTGAGCTCACCAAGGATCGCGCTCCAGGTTTCCACGTCGCCGCCTGGCGCTGGGTAAACTGCGGCAAAGACAAGAGACGGCCCCGACGCGGCAGTAGTGCCGCTCGACGAGGTCCAAACTTCAAACCACTGGACCCGCGCAGACGAGACGTCAAGCAGCGGGCGGACTACCGGAAGCAGTTCGGGTCGCAAGAAGATCCCGACAGCGCCCCACGAAGCAGAGCGTTCGCCCAGCCAACAGTACGGGTACCCTGCCGGCAGCGCCGCACCCGGCGGGAATCGCGCACCGGGGGTGGTGCAAATATCGATATTCTCATCGTGCAGAAGCTGCGCCATGGCCTGCAACCGCCAATCTAAGGGCGCGTCTGTGCCGAGGGCGAGCAAGCCACACCAGCCCGGGTTTAAAACGGCCATGCGCAAGGGCTGCTGGCTTGACAACTCCAACGGCGGGCCCACAGCTCCGGCGGCGTCGGCAGCCAGCGCTGGGCCCGCGAACGGCGAGATCACGAGCGGTGGGTCCCCGCGCGCAGGACGTAATGGGGGGGCGACCTCTTCGGCGAGGAAAGCTCGTAGCTGCCGGCCAAGAGCGATCAGGGGCCCAGCCTCGCGACTCCCCTGCGTGCGAAGCTGCGGTGGCGGCTCGGGGGCGCAAGCAAGCAAGGCGAGCGCGTCGCGAAACGCCGCTCCCTCTCCAGGCCCCTGGTTTCGACGCCGATCGAGCGGTTCACTAAGTCACGTAGCGGTGTCAGGGGGGCGTCGCCGCCCCCGGCGAACATGCCTCCGCCCCTGCGCGGGCGGCCTCCGGCGGGGCTATGCACGGCGAGGCCGGGGAGCCCTGGTAACGGCTGCGGGAGGGGCGGCGCGGCCGGCGGGAGGTGGGGAGGAAAGGAAGGGGACGAACGGCGCGGAGCGGGGGGGGGCCGGCCAAGGGGGGCAGACGGCGGACGACACCGCGGAGCGGACGGATCATCATCGTGAGCAACGGGAAGCCTTCGGGGGCCGCTGGAGGGGGGGGCAAGGGACAAGCCTTACGACCAGTACCCATCAAGGGGCGACGCGGCCCAGCCCGACAAGCAACAACGATGAGCACGATCGACGCCACTATGCATCTGCAGCTTTTTCACTCGACACCGCTCGTTGCAACCAATGGGGTTCATAGGGGATCCGGGGCCAGACCGCCACACCGCTTTGGGTGCCGGCCGCAGTGGGCGGCGGCTGGGCTGAGAAATGCGAAGCGAGGACAGCGCAGGACAACTGGAAAGAGGCACCCGCCCCCGCGGGGGGCGAGTCCGCGCCCGCTGGGAAGCTATCGCAGGTGCAGGAGCGCAACTGGCGCAGCGGTGCGCGGGCGCACCCGGCTCCGGGGCCGGCGAGGGCACCGCGCTAGGTGCCAGCGCCCGACGGGGGCTGGCGAAGCAACTCGCGTGCACTGAGGCGCTGCACTGGCGCCGAAAGAAGCCCCTGCGCCGAGGCCTTCGGCTCGGGGCCCTCGATATCCGTGACGAGGCCGAAGAAAAGCAGGAGCTCCTCAATATGCTCTTCAAAGAGAGGGCGGGTGGCGTGCATGAGAATACGTGATATCTAAGCCAGGCTGTGAAAAGTCACCGGTCCCAAGGGCGAAAGGGGGCACTGCGGTCACCTGTTTAGAATACGTGATATCTAAGCCAGGCTGTGAAAAGTCACCGGTCCCAAGGGCGAAAGGGGGCACTGCGGTCACCTGTTTCCCTGCTCCGCCGCGGCGCATGCCGGCCAGAATCGCCGCCCCCATCGCCATGACAGCATTGTGGAGGTCAACCTCCGAGTGGCAGCGGGAGGCGAAATAGACCGCGATCTTCGCGCGGCCGTCCCCGGGCTTTGGCCCGAAGGACTCGCGGACTTTGTACAGCCAGCCGGAGACAGCCTCGCGGAGCTCAGCCTCGCTCCCGAGGGCGGCAAACTGGCGCGGGTCAGGCGCCGCCGCGGCCGAGCCAACGGGGTCAAGCAACGGCAGCGCACTGGGGGGCCCGGGGGGGCCCGCCGCAAGGGGCGGGGGAGCTGCGCTAGACAATTGCGGCGCGTGCTGGGGCGCGGCCATAGGCACCGAGAGCAGCGGCGACAAGGCGGGCGGAAGCGCACGCGGGGGCGACGCCAGCGGCGCGGGCTGGGATGGCGGCAGGGTCCCGCAGACGCCCCGCACTACTGTAGCCACAGCCGCGCATGCGCGGACGCGCTCCTCCTCGCACGCTCGGACGCGCTCCTGAAGCCGCGCGGCACACGCCGCGTACTGGACAAGTTCGAAAGGCTGGTCTGGGCGCACGACGCCGGAAGCGCGGTGTAACCACGCTTTCCCACCCCCGCGCCGACCAGCTCTTCCCAGCCTGCGCGGGCAACTTGGAGCTGCTCGAGCTCTTGGCGCAAAGCTGCCAGCTCAGTGGCGTGGTCCTTCAGGGCGCTCGAAGCGGGCTGCGAAGAGGAACTGGGCGGGAGCGCCTTGACCAAGGGCGCGGTCGGCCCACCTGCGGCGCCCGCCACGGCTGGGGCGTGCCCACCTGCGGCGCCCCCGACAGCCGCGGGAGCGCCGGCCACGGCCATCGGGGCTGCCATGGGCACGAGCGCCGTGCCCGGATGATCCCACTGAGTGCGACCTGAGCTGCGATGCTGAAAATACAAAGCGCCGCTGCCCGAGTCACGCCGGGGCTCCCACCCCGGCGAAAGGGGCGGCGGGCTCAGAAGCGGCGGGCCCGGCGACGCGGGCAGCGGGCTAGCCGGGGGCGAGGCCGCCGCGGCCTTCGGGGTGGCTGGCGCCGCCGCCCCTGTGTAGGCGGCGTCGGCCGCGCTCGCTTTCGGCGGCGGAGGCGGCGGCGGCGGCGGGAACGGCGGGGACTCTGGCCCAGCGCCGATCCACCTCGTTGGCGGGCGGCGCGGCGGGCTCAGCTCCGAGGGCCCCGCCGTAGCCGGGGACAGAACCGCGCGGCCCTTCGCCGCCGCCCCCGGGAAGATGCCCCAGTCGCCG